TGTTAGTGCAGAAGAATATGCTGAAGCAACAGGACCAGTGAAGCAGTGAAGAGTTCGTGTGCTACACAGAAGCTGGAAGGAATAATCAGCAAACTAAGGAGAAAAGTCTACTTGTGACTAGGCACGCCAGGTGGCACCTCGAGTTGGGAACCGCACTACCAGGAAGCGTACGCGGGAAGTCGGGTTCGGGAAACAAGGAGTTCTGACACAAGTGCACAAAGTCAAGGTGCAATGGGTTTACTTACTGTTGAGAAAAGGTTGATGGGACTGGTGGTCTGACATCAACATGAGCAGTTCTGTTGCCCTTTCGGATTAAGGGGAGCTGTTTTTAGGGCTATATGAGTTGCTACTACTATAAAAGGAGAGGGAATAGTTCATATGCCGACTACTTCTTCCGAAATAGGTCTTTGAAGAACTCAGAAACAATGAGAGCCATTTGATCTGTTGTGCTGAGTGAAAGAGATATGTTTCGTAACTGTTGTTACGTTACATTGGGTAGATTAGGAACACGTTCAGGAGCGAATCACGGTGTGTGTGATGTCGCGTAACTCTGGGTATAATAGGTTGTAGGATCTGTTCTATAGAAGTGTTTGAGTAATCTATCTGTTGCAACAGTTGTGTCGTGTATCAGCTGTTGTGTCATGCGGAGAAAGCAATAAAAACTGTGTGTTTTTATTGGAAACTATCTGTCTCTTGTTCATATCTCTGTTCAAGTATCTTGTGCAAAGGTTCCTGCTTTTTCAAAAAATTGTGTAGTGGATATTTTGATTAGACTCTATTCAAATAAACAAAAATCCCATGGAAACTTTTTTTAGGATTTATCATATGAGTTTTTAAATCAGATTTTTTCCATTGTTATTATTATTGAATTTTAAATGGTAATCACAAGCATTTATTATTCGTGATTGCAAGATAAGAGTAATAATTTGTTCTAAAAATTGTATCTTTTCCACTTTTGTTTGTGAAATATAGAACGATTACTTGTGTCAATTACTATCCTACATATTTTATATAAACTGTTTAAATATTTTTCATATGTAAATATTTGTATGCCTCTAGATATATTTTTCATATTTTCTTTTAATTTTTAAATTGTATTTCTAATATAATGTTATGCTCTTTTGCATAAAGGAGTATGTAATCAAAAATTATAATCTTTCTATAAAAAATTATAATTTTTCTACTCTCTATGTCATACAATTAATAAATTTTTCTACTTCCTATATCATATTTTTGTACACACGGTGCAGATAAGTTTCCTAGAAAAATAATCAAAAAGAAAATCTAAAAGAAAAAGACAAAACCGATGAAGAAAAAAAAGTGAAAAGAAAAAAACAAATAAATATTGAAAGAATAAGGAAAACAAAACGAAGTCGAGGACAAAATTGAAAGAAAAAAGTCGGAGAAGAATTGGAAAAATGAAAAAAAAAAATTTAGCGATTTTAACCAAAAGTAATAAGGAAAACAAAGAGAAACACACATATGAAGAAGAACAAACAAAAATAAATGAACAAGGACAAAATAAAACGAAGAAAAACACGCATATGAAGAAGAAGACAAAAAAAAGCATAAGTCAGATATGACAAAAAAGACGAAAACGAGAAAATGAAAAAGAATAAAAGAAAAATAAGAAAAACGGAAGAAGAAAAATAATGAAATAATGAAAAAAGAAACAAAACAAACCTAAATAATTACTATAATTATTTGAGTTTTTATAAATGTTAAAAGAAAATTAATAATCAAGTTTACAAATTCTTCTCACCGTGTTTGTTTTCATAATATGTTAAATCATTCTTCACTAATATTAAATTTTGAAACAATATCATTAGCTTTAATTCAACACAGATACAAAAGTTAAAAACGGAAAGTATATAATTTTCACATAACATTTAAAATATTATATTTATGAATATTTATTTTCGACATCCATATAAATTTAAAACTAACAATCATACATATTTAATCTTTATAAATGATTAAATTATATTATAAAAAATATTAACTTTTTTCTAAAATATTTCACATTCGCACACTGTGCGGACCAACCATCTAGTATATATTTAAAATAAGCTAATATCAAAATTTAAAATGAAAGCCACGTTTATATTATATAACTTTTTCGAATTAAAACATGTTTTCGGGAAATGCTTTGACAGTTTGGCATATAAACTTGGTCGATTCGTTCAAAAATTGTCTTCTCAATACGAACAAAATATGAAAGTGAATAAATCTCGCAAACATAAGAAAAAACTATAAGAAAATGTGAAAGAGAAACTAAAATTACATGTTTTCAACAAGAGTCAAACATGTCGTCTTTATTGGCATTAAAATAATTTAAATAATAGACGTGACGACTAACCTGACGTTTCACATATCTATGCACAATCCTATTGCACGTATACTCACCCACTATATATTATGCATCCAAGTTGGTATATAAACGTGGATCCAACAAAACAACTAATCCA